CGGAGGAAGAGGAGGAGGAGGAGGAGGAGGAGGAGGAGGAGGAGGAGGAGGAGGAGGAGGAGGAGGAGGAGGAGGAGGAGGAGGAGGAGGAGGAGGAGGAGGAGGAGGAGGAGGAGGAGGAGGAGGGAGGAGGAGGAGGAGGAGGAGGAGGAGGAGGAGGAGAGGAGGAGGGAGGAGGAGGAGGAGGAGGAGGAGGAGGAGGAGGGAGAGAAAGAGGAGGAGGAGGAGGACAAAGAGGAGGAGGAGGAAGAGAGGAGGAGGAGAGGGAGGAGGAGGAGCGCCAGGACCCGATGCAGGCCCGGGCGGTTTGCGCGTTTTCAATAGGCATCCTTCTGTGGAGGCCGAAAAAACCGAAGACGGATCATAACAATTGTTTTATATATATATAACAGGCTCCGAATGTAAGCTGGCGGTCGGCCACGGAATTCGGTCTGATTGTTTTTGGTTGCTCTTTACATGTTTGGCTGTTGTGCGGCTCCCAACCTTTGATATCTTGTTTTTTTACTGTTTCCAAGTTTTCCTTGCCGCTGTGGGGGAAGGGGGGAGGGGGGTTGGGGGGAGGGAAGATGACGGAGCACGGAGAGCGAGGATGGAGAGGGAGGAAGATGAGGAGGAGGACGACGACGAGCAGGACAAGGAGGAGGAGGATGAGGAGGAAGAGGAGGAGGAGGAGGAGGAGGAGGAGGAGGAGGAGGAGGAGGAGGAGGAGGAGGAGGAGGGAGGAGGAGGAGGGGGCAGCTAACGCGAGCTAGCACAATGCGCCCCGACCGGGGCCCAAACAGCTCGCGGCGCCACCCCCCACTCTTTTCCCCAGCAATGGGGAACCCAAAGCCCAACGCTGACGCTTTCGATCGCAAGCGAGAGCGGAACCGCCTCTACAACCAGCTGAAGAGGAAGGAAAAGAAGGCGGCCGCAGAGGAGGCGAGGGTCGCCCCGCACAAGCGCAGGATCGCTCACCTCGAGCGCAGGGTGGGCACGCAGACGAAACTGCCAGCGAGACAGGTGCGCCATGTGCGCGCGGTGTGCCAGGTGCGCGTTGCGCTTCATGCGTGCAGCTTGCGCCGCCCCACGTGCACACGGTGCGCGAACACAGACGCGACCTCCTGGAGCAGCTGCGACAGACGGAGGACTTTCGACGGGGGGCACGGCGCAAACCGACAGGAAGGGGAAACAACCGCCCCTAGGAGAAGCTGAAGGACACCCAACAGCAGCTGAACTACGAGAAGCGCGCCCGCGCGAGAGCGGAGAAAGAACGCGACGACGCCAATCGCTAGCTCCGCTCCTTCCAGGCTTGGTGGGGCGTCTTCCTCAAGCTGCGCCTGCAGGATTGCTTTGGGGACGGAAGGGCGCGGGCGGGCAGGGTAGGGGGCGGCCCCAGAAGCTGCCGAACAACTGGGCCAAGGAGGTCAAGGACTGGTCTAAGAGCGGCGCGAGGCACTTGCGCTGGCTGCGGTGGTGCAACGAGAAAGGGGACTAGCGCAGAAACAGCAGAGCGCAGCGGTGCGCGGGAAAGACAACAGCCCGCGCGGGGCGGGGGCGGGCCGGCGCGAAGGGGCAGCAACGCAGGGCGAGGAGGGCGAGGGAGGCGAGGGGGGCGAGGGAGGAGGAGGAGCAGGAGGAGAGGGAAAGGAAAAAGAGGAGGTGGGGGCTGCACTAGAGGGCATCCTCAAAAAAAGTACGCGGCCTGCTGGCGAACGCAAGCGCGGACCGCAGCGATGGCGATGCATGCCTGCATCGGTGCTGACTCTAAGCCAGCGACCGCGACGCCACCGCTGCAAAGTACCTTCACAACGCTGCGTTAGAGGGCATCCGTAGCTTTTTGCGGCTGGAGCTTTGTGCGCCCCCAACTGCTCGCAGGCCCCTCGTTCGAACCCGCGCCCCCTGCCACCCATGTCGGCTTACGAGGACGCCGCGGCCTTGACCGAAGGCTACTTTTGCCGCTCCCTCCAGTAGTGCGTAGTTACCCCTGTTCCCCCACAGGGTAGCACTGACTCACTCTTGGAATTTACCACGGAGGCGCCACCGCTCGACAACCCGCTCGTGCACTGGATGAGCTTGATCGCCAACCGCACCGACGCAATCCCGAAGGACATGGAGGCGCAGTATCGTGAGGCTTCCAATAGCAACGCCTGGCACACCTTGCCCATCCCCTTCTGCCTCACTGAGCCCCTGCCTGCTGACTCCCAGCTGCAATTTTGCACCCTGGACACATGGGGCGGCACCAAAGCCATCATCAAGCGCGTTGTTCTGCCGTCTCAGACGAAGATGCGGTTCCAGGCCTTCTCTAAGTTCGCTCTCGGCAGCGCGTGGAAGCTCGTACTCCAGCGCCCCAAGGTCGGCGTCCGCGCGTGGGAATACACCTTCGAGCACCTGGGGCCAGACATTTCGACAGTTCCAGCTTTCCCCTGAAGTCAAGCAGAAGGGCAAAGTCGACGCCTGCTTCGACATGGGCGACGAGGACATCGACGCTGGCTTCGAGTACATCGTCAAGCGCGCGCCGCGCCCGACTTCTGAGCGCGCGCAGCCGAGGTGGCAAACGGCCCGAATGGACGCACCGAGTCTGCATTGTTAAAGCAAGACACCCAAGTGCTGCGACGGCCTGCGGCCTGAGATGCACGACAGCATCCCAGATAGCGCGCGCACCTCCGATTGGGAGCGGCGTCGCGCGTACTTATGGGCGTGGGTTTGGCGCATGCGGAGGTCAAGCAAAGACCTGCTCCAAGAGTTTTGTTCGACCGTTCGAGCAGAGAGGAATCGCACGCAGTAAGCTACTCGTGCATTCAGACATGCAGCCCGCCTACGCGCAGAGAGCGCGGGCTGAGGCCGCCCGCGCACCCTTCGGCGTCGCCTTGCGCGCTTGTTAAAAACGGCCAAACCGCCCAGGCCTGCGCTGGCTTCGGGAGGGGGAGGAGGAGGAGGAGGAGGAGGAGGAGGAGGAGGAGGAGGAGGAGGAGGAGGAGGAGGAGGACGAGGAGGAGGAGGCGGAGGAGGAGGGGGAAGAGCTCGGCAACTGTGGAGAGGGGCGACCTCATTCCTCATGCGCAGACGCACAGACGCCCAGCCCCAGGGAGGGCGCCGCCCCCCCCAGGTTCGGCGGGGCCGAAGGCCCATCAGGGCCCGGGCAGCAGCGGCCGTTGCAAAACCGAGGCCCAACGAGGGCCTGGCGGCAAAAGGCCGCCCCAAAACCGCTGCCCGAGGCGACAGGAACCCCACAGGGAAGGCGCCCCTTCGGGAGTTTCGACCTCGACGACGGCCAAGCGGATCATCTCGGCGACTTTCTCGTCGGTGCGCTTCCTCTCCAAGTCGATCGTGCCGTTGCCGTCCGCGTCGCCCGCGTCGACGGGTAAGCCTGACCAGGCCTCGATCTCCTCAAGGATCTCCGCCTTGAAGCCGTTCCTCTCCAGCTCACCGCTGGTCACCAGGCCCAGCACCTCGTGAAGGCTCGCCAAGACCATTTCGCGGGTCGCGGCATCCACCATCGCGGCGCCATTGCTGGCCGTGGGAGCCACACTCTCTTGCTCCTCCACCACCGTATTGGGACCGCCAACCTCCGTCTGCAGCCCGACCACGCCGATGACCGTGTCTGTGCGCAGCTGCCTGGCCGCCTCGGCCTGCTGCTCCCGCAAATAGCAACACCTGAGAAGGTCCTCCCACACCTTCTCCGTCTCGTCCTGCGCGGCCAACTGACGCAACGCCAGGGAACCGACCGCTGCCCTCGGCCTCCGCTGTGCCGCTGGCTTTGTGTTCTTCCTGCTTCCCGTCCTCGCCGTCGTTGATGCTCAAGCACTCCTGTGCAGCACCACCTCCAGCAAGTACGGCGCCCCGCACTCCAGCATCGCAATGTGCTCCACGTACACATTCAAGCGGGGGAGGCTGAGCGGAGGAGGAGGAAAACGAGGAGGAGGGGAAAGAGAAGCGAGGAGAGGAAAGCGGGGGAGGGGAGGAAGGGCACGAAAGGGGGCGCCAGGTGAGGGAGAAGGAAAAGTACGCGGGAGAGGGAAACGGAGGGAATGGAAGGGGGGAGAGGAAGAGACCTCCCTCCTGCCTCCTCATACTCTCTCCTCCTCCTCCTCCTCCTCCTCCTCCTCCTCCTCCTCCTCCTCCTCCTCCTCCTCCTCCTCCTCCTCCTCCATCCTCCCTCTTGCCTCCTCCTTTTTCCTGGCCCTTAGCTACATGGTCCCACGATGTGAAACCAGCAGCAGAACGATGAGAGCGGAGCGGGACGGAGCGGGGACAACATTTCGGCAACGCAACGCCGACCTTCTCCTGATAGGTATACTACGGCCGAAGAATGTATGTTTGCTGGGGACCTCTCTTGAGGAGGCGAAGGGTATTGCTGACATCCTTGCGTGAGGGATACCCCCAGCACACTGCTCCCACAACTTCGACACCTTCTCTCGACCGAAGCACCCGCAAACATTACAGTATAGCATCCCCGAATCCGAGACGACATCGAGACTTCCCCACAACTTATGCGAAGAATGAATATGCCTGATGACTCTGGGGATCCTTCTACACGGGGTTCAGGTCAGGGCGGTATACGTCCGCTCACTGGACAAGCCGATCCGGCAGGCACAACCCTTCCCACAAGATCCGAGGGCTTCGGTTTAGCCCTAGACTTCACAAGCTCTACATCTGCAAAACGATGCCTGGAATAGTGACCGAGAAGCCTGGCGGTGTACACAGCCAGAGAGGATAGCTGCTCGGCACGCTCTGCCTCCAACCTGGGCGCCTGTTTGGCAGCGTGCTTGCCTGGGAAATCTTCCGCCTCCTCCTCCTCCTCCTCCTCCTCCTCCCCCTCCTCCTCCTCCCCCTCCTCCCCCTCCTCCCCCTCCTCCTCCTCCCGCCTCCTCCCTCCTCCTCCTCCTCCTCCTCCTCCTCCTCCTTCTCCTCCTCCTGCTCCACTGCTCACTTCCCATGCCACGCCCAGCTGGGGCAACCTGAGGGCCGCCGCCGCCGAGCCGCCTGGCACTGCCGCCTGAGCCTTCGGGCGGGCGCTCCTCGAGGTGACGTTGCACACGTGGCGCTCCTCCGAGCTGCAGGTCTTCCGGGCGTCGTCCCAGAAGCACCTTCCCAGCTGCGGGGCCCTCCACCTCCTCCCTTCCTCCTTCCCGCCCTCCATGCTCCCACGATCCATCCCTCCTCTCGGCGGGCCTCCTTCTCCTCCACTCCCTCCCTCCTCCCTCCACTTCCTCCCTCCACCTCCTCCCTCTCCTCCCCTCCCTCTCTCCTCCCCCCCCTCCCCCTTCTCCCCACCTCCTCCCCTCTCGCCTCCAGTCCCTGCCAGAACCACCTCGCCGGCTGCGGGCCCCTCCACGAAACGAGGCCAAAACAAGCAAGGGTAAGTTTGGAATCTCTGAGATCCGGCGGCTCCAGAGGATGCATCAGGCGCCGCGGCCTTCACAGAGCGTTCCAAAACGCTCTGGAACAATTCAACCCAAACCTAGACCCGCCTGGCTTCACCTCCTCCCTCCCTGCCTCCCTCCCTCCCGGCTCCCCTCCCTCCATGTTCGCACGATGGTTGTCACCACCAGTCCTCTGTGAATCAGAAATTCCGGCTGGAACGGCCAGAAAGGAGAGCATGTCCTGGAATGCCTTGTCCAAGGCACCCTCCACTCCCCGTCCGTCGCACCCCTATCCTTCCCATCTTTCTCTTCAACCGCCTTCTCCGCGATCTCATAATCACCTCCCCTATATTTTGCACATTATGATGGCGAACCACCTGACCATCACCATCACCCATACTATCACCATCGCCATCGCCATCGCCATCACAATGACCATCATTATCCTCCTCCTCCTCCTCCTCATCATCATCATCACCATCACCACCACCACCATCACCACCACCATTATCATCGCCAGCATCGTCATCATCAACAGCATCATCAACATTACCATCATCATTATCATCAGTATCCTCATCACCGTCTTCATCCTCATCCTCGTCATAATTATCATTATCATCAGAACCGTCGTCATGACCATCGCCATCGTCATCACAATCAGCATCATCATCATCCTCATCCTCATCCTCATCCTCATCCTCATCAGCAGCAGCAGCAGCACCATCATCATCGTCATCGCCATCACCATGTTTTTTTTTGGTACCAGAAAATCAGCCATACCTAGCACATCTGACTCGTTGGTAGTAGCCCAAGCTATAAGTGAGTGACGAATTCCCCCAGGGCGGTCCCGCTCACCAACTGGGGAGAATGAATTCGGCACGGTGTACTGGGAAGCCTGCCATTCAAGAGGGCACGCTTCTCTTTACAGTTAGTTGGCTCACACCTCGACCTAAGCTTGATGGCCTCCTGCATCCCGAACGCGCCACGCCTGGAACAAACGACCACGGGGAAACCGGACCCCACGACGAACGCAACACTGAGAGAGTGGCCGCAGTGTCCAGGGGGGGCGCAACACATCTAACATTGAGGGGCCCAGGCCAATACATGGGGTCTTAGCGTGGAGGAGGAGGAGGACGAGGAGGAGGAGGAGGAAGAGGAGGAGGAGGGGGGAGGGAGGGGAGGAGGAGGAGGAGCAGGAGGATGAGGAGGAGGAAGGGGAGGAGGAGGAGGAAGAGGAGGAGGGAGAAGGAGGAGGAGGAGGAGGAAGAGGAGGCTCGGCTCGGCTCGGAACCCCTGGGCGCGGCAGGACGGAGGTCGCGCAGCTGTCTCGCACCTGGGCGTCGCTTCGCGACAATCGAAAGAGGACTGGTCAATTGTTGTGGCCACCATGGCCTGTCGGGCGCCTCCCGCACGGCCCCAGGGAGCGGCCCGCCGATTGGCGCGCAGCCAGGCGGGTGCCCCCCGCACGGGGACCAGCTCGCGGATCCGTCCCACCCGACCACCCTCCAACGTCCCGCCCGTCCCATCCGCGAGCCGTCCCCCGTGGGTACTACTGTTGCTGGCCCACTCCTCCCTGACCCCCCTCGAGGAGAAACGCTCTCTCGCAGGGGGTCGGGATGCGCTATCCGAGACACGCCTTAAAACATTTGGTACAGGGGCGGCAGGCACAGGCTGGCTCGGGACGGCGGCACTCCCACCTCCCGCTCCGCTCCTTCTACGTGCACGGCGAGTCGGACTCAAAACTTGGACGACAGATGTGGGCAAAAACGGTGATGCGTACACCGTCGCCACTCTCGTGGCGGTCAAAACTGCAGGGCTGACAATTCCCCCGGCAATCAGTGCTGCGAGCCTCTCACTGCTGGCCATCAAAGCTGATTGAGAGCCTGAAGCAGGTTGCCTGCCTCTCGCTCCAAGGGGCCCCTCGGCGCTGGCCCGTGCACCGCCTCCGCCTTCTCCACCTTCGAGAGGTAGTCCACTAGGATCGGGTACAGAGAGTTGGCGGTCGGCACCTTCGAGTTCAGCACAAACGACAGGACCCCCTTGGCGTCCTCTCCCGCGGTCCTCGCCTTGCGGTACTTGCAGTGGAGGACCTGCTCCGCGATCTCCTGAGGCTTCTTTGCGACTATCACCTGCTGCCAGTACTCGAGGAAGATCTTGTGCCCGTCTGCGTTCGGAGTCGCCCCCCCCGACGCCGTAACTTCCATGCTGCGCTTGATGATGGCGCCGAACAGATGGACGTGAGGTGGCCCGCGGGCCTTGAAGTCTACCGACTCGCCGCCCGCGACCCTCTCGCGGAGCCTCTTGCTCTCGCCGTCGTACTCGATGCCCCCCTTGCGACACACCTGTCCCAAGCTGCCGTCTGCCTCGCTGATGAACATCGTGGTGTAGCACACGCTCTCCAGCTGCGCTGCTTTTCGGGCTGTGGTGAGGGCGAGCTTCGCGATGACGACCAGGAGCTGGCCGGCCTTCTCCTTGGGGTTGCCTGCCTTGCCCCGCTTCTGGCGCGGCGCCGATGCAGGGGGCGAGGCCGACCTCACCATCCACGAGGGCATCGCCACGTCCGAGGTCATGTCGGCGACGCTGTCGTGCGAGAAAACACGCCCCCGAGGAAACCGACCAGGGAAGATGAGCCCGAAGATGGCTACAGAGGTCGTCGTAGTCGGCCGACTCGTGCGAACAAATGCGGCACCCCAGAACCCTCGGATCAGCTCTGGTCGCAATCGCACTCGGCCCTCTCGTTCCGCAGTGCCCCCTGAGCATCGATCCCCCGAGGCGTCGGTAGGCCGTTTGCCTATTCCAAAAAATCTTCCTACACGCGATACATTCATTAGACGGGCAAAGCAGAGCAGCTAAATTATAGACGCCGCGCTCGTGTCTCAAGTGCTCGGTGAGACCCCGCTTCGTGCAGAAAGATTCGCCACATTGCGCCCCCTCCCCTTTCGCCCAAGAACAAACAAACGGGGCAACAGGGACGGGGGGAGGGACGAGCCCACCAGGGGCCCCAGGGTCAAGGACACCGCGGGAAGGGCCAGGGGGCGCAATCGTGGCAGTGAAATGGTAACTGCGCAGACGTCCGAAATCGAGGCGAACGAAATCCGCAGATAATTCTTTATCTTCTATAAGTAGCCATGGGCAGTCAGCAACGCGCAAAAGCACATCCCTGTCATCAGGCATCACTTCGATCGCGGCTCGGGCGTCATCCTGGATGCGTTCGGCCCAGGGACTCGCAAACTGACTAAGGCCATCAACTGTGCACGGCCGCTTTTCCGCGGGTTCAAAAACGAGGGCCCCGAAGAGCATTGCCAAAACGCGCGCGCGCGCCCGAGTCCGAGAGGCACAAGATTGGTACCAGACGAGCCTTCGGACACGCAGCTCCGTTTCGCACGGCACTAATTCCCAGGATGTTAGAATCTCTAGAGAACCCATGCGGTCCGTGACTTCCCCCTGTTCATTGCGTTCGCACGCGGCTCCGTGCATGGCGATCTTACAGAGGGAGGCGAGGCAGTGGTCAAGGAGCGAGAGTTGGCGGGGGCTGAGTACAAAAAAACCTCAAGTGCTGACAGGAGAGTGTTTTGCACTAGGCCGATCAGCACAGTGCGCCGCCAGCGTCGCGGCGCGCTGGCAGACCAAAAGCCTGCCATGGCACAGGAAGCAGCACGGGCGGCCACCATCCTACGCTCCACCTCGATCGCTGCCGAGGCGTCCTGCGTGACAATCGGCCCCGGGTACCTCGTCGCCTCCTCGACTCGTCCGTCGATTCTACCCCGCGCGATGGAATGCTGGAGCCAACGCTTGCACTGCTGCGAGCCCGCCCCCCGGATCATGAAGCACGCCACCTGCTTGCCCCGATTCTGCGCCAGCCCATGCTGCAAGAGGCACTCGTCCAGGATGTCGTCGCTGCGCTTCATCCTCCTGAGGGCCTCGTCCATGTCGCACCCAACCTCCAGGGGGGTGACGCGGTACAGGTCGTCGGCGTACTTGGACAACGAGACGTCGATCGAGTTGTCCTCGCAGCCCCCGTGCAACAGTCCTGTGATCCCCTCCTGCGTCAATTTTTGGGACCACTTGTCCACGGGCACGACAAAGGCCGCCGCGAACGCCTGCGCCACAAACGGGTCCCCCACGAGGCCGCCCTCGCCCGTCTTCAAAAAGAGGGCCCCGTCGCTCGTGTCCACCTCCGCGACTGACAGGCGGCGCCTATCGCGGCAGAGCTTCTGGTTCTGCGGCTCCACCAGACCCTCATCTAGGATAACCTCATCGAACCTGTCCCAGGACACACTGCCAAAGGCGTTCGCCATATCTTTGAGGGTTGCCACCCACGACCATCCCGACTGCTTCAGGCGCCAGGCCAGCACCTGAGTCGCCAGCAGCGCGCCCTCCCTGCGCCGATGGGGGGCACATCCATGATCCTGTGGGGCCAGCTGCGCCTTGAGCTTGCACGCGAAGTAGCCCTTCCCCACCGCAGGGAGAGAGTGTATAACTCGCCTTCCCTTCATGCCAGGCTTGTCATTCTTGGCGAGTCCGATGCCCATACTGCGGTACCAGTACAGGGGCGTCTTCTCCGCGCGCCTGGTCAGCGTCAGCGCGCGCAGGAGGGTCTCGTCGAACAGCTGCATCCCCTGCGCCGTCTTCTCGAAGCCCACGCCGTGGGGAAGACGATCCATGGCCCTGTCGGGCCAGAGGCAAAGATCCCATAACTCCAGCGCCGCCGTACCATTTGGAACCGTGCGCCTCTTCTTGGCGCGGCGGACGTAGCGCCTCAGCTCCTTGAAGTCCCCCTGTGCGCAACTGATGTCCATGGAGTCCGCAGGTGGGGCGGGGGCAGTGCCTGTTCTGCTAGCACGCCATTCACTCCAGTCTATTTCGTGCGCTCTCATACCCCCCTGGGCGCCAGGCCTCCCAAGCCTCGACCCACTCTGCCCGTGGCAGCGGAGGGGGGCCAAGGCGGCGTCCGTCCCGACGCTTCGCGCCCGGTCGGCGGTGTCCAAGTAGCCGTGAAAGACGCATCGCCTCGGCCATGTCCCTCCTCTCCCAGGCCTCATTCACCTCCTCCTGCAGCTGGTTCCTCTCTGCGGCCCTGCGTCCACGGTGCTCCGCCTTCCGAGCTCCGACGGCGTGGAGCGGGTTGAACGCCAGGAGGCGGAGGGTCGACCTCAGCAATGGCGCCATGGCGGCTCGCGCAGGTCCTGCGGGATGGCGACCTGCATCACCTCTGCCTCGGTGTGAGGTGCCCCTAGTTCCTCCAAACAGGCCAGAACCAGAGGGGCTGGAGGAAGAGGAGGACGAGGAGGAGGAGGAGGAAGAGGAGGAGGAAGAGGAGGAGGAGGAGGAGGAGGAGGAGGAGGAGGAGGATGTGTGTCAGAGGCTACAACGCCAATGATCGATGTGCCAGTAAAAGGATGTGTGGCGGCACGGACGACCTGCCGCGACGGGGCCTCGCACATCCCTTGTCCAGCTCACCGAACAGGCCTGCTGGCGAGGGCCACAGGGAAGAGGAGGAGGAGGAGGAGGAGGAGGAGGAGGAGGAGGAGGAGGAGGAGGAGGGAGGAGGAGGAGGGAGGAGGGGGAGGGGGGAGGAGGAGGGGGAGGAGGAGGAGGAGGAGGAGGAAGAGGAGGAGGAGGAGGAGGAGGAGGAGGGGGAGGAGGAGGAGGAGGAGGAGGAATAGGAGGGGGAGGAGGAATAGGAGGAGGAGGAGGAAGAGGAGGAGGATGATGAGTAGGAGGGCCACTCGACCCATCCCCAGGAACAGCTCACGAAAACGCTTGCGAGCGGAAACAACCCCCATCGGAGGACAGAGGCGCGACATCGTAGGGCCGAGCACCTTGGCCCGCCCGCCAGTCAGCCGCGTTGTTTCCAACGATAGTTGTTTTCTCCTGCTCCGATCTGGCGGATTCCTCCGCCAAGTGTGCCTTCACTTTGTGGAGGGTCACCGATTCCCCTACCCTACCTCGAGAGTCGCAGCCACTTCGCGCCAAAAGTGTGCAGCGTCGCACTTGGCCGACAGGACCTGATCAGGATGGGCCTGTCCCCGAGGGAGGGCGGCGAAGTCCACGGCCAGCGGCTCACCACCAACGCGTTTATCTTCACGCTCGGTGTGGAGGTAGGCCATCATCATACCTATTCATTATCCGACCCTACTTCTCTGGCCGAATAGCCTGGGGACATGGCCGTAGATACCTCGGACAAGGTTCCCCTGGGCATCCACAGGACCAACCCCCCACCCCGCCCTCGCCAAATACCCCAAATTCGGCTTCAGGCAGGAACCGTCCGAATAGAGTTTATCTTCAGGCGAAAAGGCAAAGGGAGCCATTGCGAGCCCTCCAGAGTAGAACTTGACGTCTCAGACTTCAGCTGGTGTCTGCCGGGGGCACCGCCACCCACATCATCATCATCACCAGCATCATCATCATCATCATCATCATCATCAGCATCATCATCATCATCATCATCATCATCATCATCATCATCATCATCATCATCATCATCATCATCATCGTCATCATCATCAGCAGCAGCAGCATCATCAGCATCATCAGCATCATCATCATCACCATCAGCAGCATCATCATCGTCCTCCTCCTCCTCCTCCTCATCCACCTACTCCTCCTCCTCATAATCGTCATCATCATTAATAATATTCGTCGCCGTCAGCAGCAACAGCATCAGCATCAGCGTCAGCGCCACCACCATCATCAGCATCATCACCTCACATCCCCCATATCATCATCATCATCATCATCAGCATCATCATCATCACCATCATCATCATCATCACCATCAGTATCATCATCAGCAGCAGCATCAGCATCATCATCAGCAGCATCATCATCCGCATCACCTCATGACCTTCCCCCTCATCACCTCCTCCCTCATGAGGGCACAGCCCCGTCATCACCTCCTCCATCAAAACCATCACCTCGCATCCCCATTCCCGCTTCCCTCCCCCTGTATCTTGCGCATCGTCGCCAAGATCCGACCAGCAACGGCTCCGCTAACACCATCTCCTCCTCCTCTTGCTTCTCATCTTCCTAGACAAGACAAGAGACAAGAGCCCGCGTCGAGGCACCTACGAGGGTGCGGCGGGAGGGCGCCGGGGCGCCCGAATAGGCTGGCCGCTCAGAAGCCGGGGTCGGGAATGGCAGCTGGGCCGGACAGATGGGAGTGTGTGCTGGAGCCGCAGTTTTCACCAACCATTACCCAATCTGAATACTCCTGTCTCTCCCCCCCGAGAACGTGCTGAGAGCATCGCGCCCCACTCCGCGTTCTTCGTCCCGCGCACCAGGTGCTCGATCGTCGGCGTGTCCTATGTCAACGTTTCAGCCGAAGCCTTTTCAGGCCTTCTCACACGGTGCTCCCGCCCCAGACATGCGACGTCCAGATTTTTTCAGGACGGCGTCCCCGCAAGTCCCGACCCTTTCCCCAGGACCGGTTTTTCGTCCTGAGTCGTTTTTTGACGGTCCCGAGGCCCGGCGAGGACCTCTAGAGGGCGAAAATACCCCAAAACCGCCCGTCCTGTTTTTTTTTACGACGCCATCATGTCTGGGGCTGCAGCGTTGGCCTCATCATCGGATCAGCGCTTCGCCCTCGTCGTTCAGACTTGCGCTCTCGCTCGGGTAAGAGCCACAACTCCGGATCCGGATCCCTCCTCGTCGTCGTCGCCCCGCTCCTTTCCCTTCCTCCGCCTTTCCCCGCTCCTCCCGCTCCTCGTACTCCTGCTGCTGCTGTTCCTCCACGCCCTCCTCCTTCATCATCCTCATCCTCCTGTTCCTGCTCAGACTTGTGCTCATCAGCCACCTCCTTCTCCTCTTCGTTCTCCAATGTATACCGCTCCCCTTCCCTGATTGCGCATAACATGGCGAGGTCCTTGGGGGGGTCCAGGTCCACTATGGCACTCGTCGGCGGATAGAAGAGGAATCAACGCGGTGGGAAGGGAGGCGTGTGAGAGGAAGGATGTCAGACATGACGCGAGCGCAGCTGAGCGGTCCTCTCCCCTCTCATCCCCCCTTCTCCACTGCAGTCCCTCCCTCCTCCTCTACCGCTCTTCATCATCTTTCCCCTCCGTCTCGTCTGCCTCCCACCACCACACCCCGCGCCCGCAAGGCCCCGAGGAGTCAGTCACGCAAAGGCGCGAGTGCTGCAGAGACGCTGTCGCCGCCACTGCGGCGGTAGATTCCGAGTCAACCTTGCAAGTAAGTGAGGAGGCAACTCCTGGGAGGTCTTCGCCAGAACAAACACAGGCTGCCGAGCCAAAGCAAGTGACCATGAAGCGATACTCAGCCGGATCAGGCCGGGGCTTTGGCCGCATTCAGCGGGTTGAAGCCCGATTAGACACGATTTCGCCACATGAGGCCAGTGTTCGGCCAGGGGTATACCAGCGCCGATTCAGCAGAATTTTACCTCCCAGGAGTTGCATCCTTGAAGAGGCCCTGGGACACACAGATACATACACACAAATAAAAGGATTCCCCGTATTTCCCTACATGTTCTGGGTTTTGGGCTTCCCCCCCACTTTCCATATTTTCCCATAATTTCCTGGGAGTCGACGATTAATTGTGTCTGTGTTTCTGTCCGTCCTGAAAGGAGAAGGGGCGAAGAGGGAAGGACGGAAGGAGAGAAGGAAGCGGCGAAACCGCATTTTCAGGACATCGGCACGGGTATTGTCAGGAGGGAACAAAAACACACAGACACAAGTAATCGTCGATTCCCCAGAAAATATGGGAAAATATGGGAAGTGGGGGGGAAGGAGAACATGCGAAAATATTGGGAATCCTGTCATTTGTGGTAATTGATGTGTGTGTCCCATGGCCCCTGCATATTGGTATCTCTCCGACGCGATACCAAGCACCCTCGTTGTCCGCTTCCCAGCAGTACTTGCCATCGGAGGCTGGCTATAGGCAGCCGCGCCTGAACGCGGAGATGGCGTCTTTGGTCGCGTACGTGTTCGAACATCTCTCCTTGCTCGTCCGCTGGTAGCAGTACCTTCGGCCCCGTGGGTCGAAGGAAGAGCCGGGCACACCTCCTCTGCTTCGACCTCCTCCGCTCCTCTTGCCTCGTCCTGCTGCCTCCTCATCGCCATCGCCATCGTCCTTCTTCTCCTCCCGCTACCCTTGTTTCCCCTCCTTCCCCCTATACTGGGAGAAACGAAAACGTGGGAGGAAGGGCAGGACGAAGCAAGGAGGGAGGGAGGGAGATGGGGGAGGCAAGGGAAGGGTGGGGGTGCAGGGGGGTGCCCGGGGGAAGGGAGGGCCGAGGAGAACAGGGGGACATGACCACACATCCACCGACCCCCGCTTGCCGCAGGAGGAGGCGTGTGAGACCTTTGGCTGGTGGCCTCCCCCCTTACCCCCCCCAGGAGCCCAAACCGTTTTCGTCGTCGTCGTCGTCGTCGTCGTCGTCGTCGTCGTCGTCCTCCTCCTCCTCCTCCTCCTCCTCCTCCTCCTCCTCCTTCCTCCTCGAGAAGCTTTCTGAGCCTCCTCGGCAGGCTGGAAGGCCTCTGAGAAGCCCCGCCGCCCCCTGAGAAGGCCTGCCCCTTCTCACTTCCCCACTCGCCGCGCCGCAGAGTGGAGGAAGCCTCGGTTTCGGCTGCACGCAAGAGTGACCCCAGGCCCCAGGCAAGCGGCCAAGGGTGACCTCTGGTGCGCGGCTCGACGGGGGACGCGGGGGGGCCAGGCCTGGGCGAGCAAGCCGCTGCTACCGCTTCGCGATCATGCGATCGGGGGACCCCGTTGGGCCCGCACCAAGAGGTCACTCCAGCGAATGGTCACTCTTACGTCTGGCCGATCGGTCCTCGGGCCATCCACTCGGGCCCCCCGGCGGCCGGTCGTCGGGACGACCCGGGCGCCCCAAAAGAAGAGCGCTCCCGGCGAGGCGCGGCTGCCGGAAGAACGCACCCCGAGGCAGGAACACCAGGTGGACCCGACCCGCACCGCCGACGGAACTCCCCCGCGGCACGCACCCAGGCCCTGCTGAGAGGGCAGGGGGCCTCTGAGAAGGCGGGAGGAGGAGGAGGAGGAGGAGGAAGAGGAGGAGGAGGAGGAGGAGGAGGAGGACGAGGAGGAGGAGGCGGAGGGAGGAGGAGGAGGAGGAGGCGGAAGGAGGAGGAGGCGAAGGAGGAGGAGAGGAGGGGGAGACGAGGAGGAGAGAGGAGGGGGAGGAGGGGAGGAGGAGGAGGAGGAGGAGGAGGAGGAGGAGGCGGAGGAAGGAGGAGGAGGCGAGCGGAGGCGGAGGAGGAGGAGGGGGAGAGGAGGAGGAGGAGGAGGAGGAGGCGGCGGAGGAGGAGGGAGGAGGAGGGGGCGGAGGAGCACCCCGGCCCCTCCAGATCGAGCTCCCGACGGGCCCCGGCCGCCCCAGGGGCAGCGCCGAGGGCCACGGAGCGCCCCCATGCGAGGCCCCCCCCTGACAGGCCCACGCCTGTGCAGGAGGAGAGGAGGAGGAGGAGGAGGAGGAGGAGGAGGAGGAGGAGGAGGAGGAGGAGGAGGAGGATGAGAGGAGGAGGAGGAGGAGGAGGAGGAGGAGGAGGAGGAGGAGGAGGAGGAGGAGGAGGAGGAGGAGGAGGAGGAGGAGGAGGAGGAGGAGGAGGAGGAGGAGGAGGAGGAGGAGGAGGAGGAGGCAGCGCGCCGGCCTCGGCCACGACGCGCGGAGCGCCAAGCACGGCGAAAGGCACGAAAAAACTCAGATCTTCGATGGGAGGCGAAGCGGCATAGCAGTGCTGCATGTCCTCCCCGGAGGCCCCTGACACGTGGGCGACGCCAAGGCCGGACCCCTGCACGCTGCTTTTCGTGTTGTGTTCGTTTCTTGCTGTTCGTTTTGCTCTGCTCCAGATTTCGTAATAAGGGGAGGGGCGTCTCATTTCGGGGGGGGTCTCTTCCAGGCTATCTTGGAGGGCCTGGGGGGTCTGGGGACGATGTTTTGGAGGGTTCTCCCACGGGGGAGGTCTGAAATGGCTTGTCTTGGAGGGTCCAGACCCCCTCCCTTTTATTACGAAATCTGGAGTACCTGTTGTCCTTGACCTCCCCGCAAAAACGACCAACCAAACACAGCCGAAGTCCGGCAAAACAGCGTGCAGGTCCCGCCCAGCAGAAAAAGGTCTTTTGCGAGATGGTACAGCGACCTTAGGCATGGCTTAGCCGGGCCGTCAGCGCGGCATGCTACGTTGGAGACGAGGGCGCTCACGCGCGACCTTAACGCGGGCAGCTTGCACACGAATGTCGGCGCAGGCGTCCCTGTTTGCTTGCGTCGCTCACGTGGTGTTTCATTGACTATGCCCTTGTTTGAGTCTCGCACCACGCGTTTTGGAGCTTAGTTTTTTGTTCCAGAGCTGATTTCGGTGTCTTTCGTGAGGAATTCTGGGGCATTTAGATTTCAGGAGAACAGCAACTTGCGACCTGGTCAGACTGCCGTACTGGCCGACACCGCCGGGCCACGCGCACATCGTTCCAACGGGCGCGAGCACCGACGGAATCAAACGCCGAAGATAAACAACATAGTTTTACGGCTCTCACGGGCCGATGCTCATTGAGGACCCCGCTTCCTCGCGCCAAGAGGCCCCCCGAGGCCCGCAAGGGGACCCTGAGAAGGCCTCAAGAAAGCTTCGAACGTTTTCACATTTACTGCGAGATGGCGCCAATATGACTCAAATAGGCTTCCCAAATACGTCTCCGGGCAAAATACGCAACGATGGCTCGTATGGTTGACTCCTGCCTCCTCCTCCTCGCTTGCCTCCTCGTCCTCACTACAGCCGTCGTCGGCTACCAGAACGGTCTTTCCAAACTCACTCTCTTCCCGACCTCCCAACTCCATGATGCCTGCTCCTGTTCCTCGTGTGTTGTGGATGCCATGACAATGGACACCATAACAACCCAATCGTTGAATTAAGCATGTGTTTGACATGTTTGAAGCGTGTTCCAACGATGCGTAAAAACGCTTGCAACCTGTTTAAAACATGTTTTAGGCATATGGAAACTATTTGGCAACATGCTTCTAAGGAACCGAACTCTACACACCGACGTTTTTTTTTCGGGCCCCGCACTGGAACTCGCACAGGAAAGAGGATCCTGGTGTATACGGGATCCTGGTGTATACATTTTCCGTTGCTTCCACGAGAAAGCGGGGACAAAACGTATACACCACACCAACCCGACGTCGCCCCCGACCCTCAACCATCCCTGGGATTGCAGATCCCTGGGATTGCAAACGCTCCTTGGGAGAGCAATTCCTGTCTCCGAGCTCCCTCTCCACTGATCGCCCTCCACAGCTCATCCTCCCCTGTCGTCGTCGTCGTCGTCGTCGTCGTCGTCGGAGGAGGAGGAGGAGGAGGAGGAGGAGGAGGAGGAGGAGGAGTTTTAAACCCGCGTGCTCCCGCCCGTGAGTGGGCGCCCCTGGTCTCGGCACCCCGCGCAGGCAGAACAGCCCGAGGCGGGGTGGGCCAGCGGCCTCATCTCACGTCGTAATACTGCCGCCACTCAGTGACTCATCGAGTCGCCCCGTGGGCGGCGGCAGTCTGAAGTATTGCTGCCGCCGCCCTCTCAGAGCTTGAGGAGCAGCCTGATGGACGGCCGCAGCCGCTCCTCCGCTCTGCGCTCTTCCAGGGACCGTCCTGGCCGCTGGTCCCTGGACTCTTGGGCCTTCTCGGCCGCCTTGCCTGGCGCAGGGCTGTGGCCTAACCCCTCGCCACGCTGGGGTGCGTTGCGGCCTAACCCCTCGCCGCACAAGGGTCCTCTGCGGCCTAACCCCTCGCCGCGCTGGGGCCTGCTGCGGTCTAACCCCTCACCGCGCTGGGGTGCTCCTTGGTGGCCTAACCCCTCGCCGCGCAGGGGTCTGTTGCGGTCTAACCCCTCACCGCGCTGGGGCCCGTCGTGGCCTGACCCCTCGCCACACTGGGGTTCGGCGCGGTCTAACCCCTCACCGCGCTGGGGAAACACGTGGCCTAACCCCTCGCCACGCTGGGGGCTGCTGCGGTCTAACCCCTCACCGCGCTGGGGTGGTCCGTGGCCTAACCCCTCGCCGCGCTGGGGCCTGCTGCGGTCTAACCCCTCACCGCGCGGGGGACCGCCGAGTCTCGCACTGCCCCCATCCACAGTGCTGCTGCCCACTGTCACGGGCAAGGCCCCTCGACTTTGCCACTCTGCGTTCGCGGTTCACGTGGTATCCGCGGGCCAAGCCCTCCCCCTCGCGTTCAGTCTGTCGGTTTCCTAAGGTGTGGGTCCGCTCTGTTAGTTGCGAGGTCCTGTCTACCACACTGTCGGTCAAAAGATCCGCGTCATGCTCGCTGTGCTCGTCAGGGATCTCCACCTCGAGCCTCTGTTTGCCTTTGGCATTGCGGTCTACCCCCTCACCGCGCAGGGGACTGCCGTGGCCGAACCCCTCGCCGCGCAGGGGTTCCTTGCGGTCTAACCCCTCACCGCGCTTGGGAAAATCGCCGAACTCCTTGCCCTGGCCCCGCTGCAGGTCTGTGTCGTCGTAGCCTGCCGTCGTCTCGGGCTGCTTGGTTTTGTGGCCTAACCCCTCGCCGCGCAGGGGACCGTCGTGTCTCGCACCATCACCATCCTCGGTGCTGCTGCCCACTGGCTCGGGCAAGGTCCCCCGACTGTGCCTCTCGCTGTGTTCGCGGTTCACGTGGTATCCGCGGGCCAAGCCCTCCCCCTCGCGTTCAGACTGTCGGTTTCCCAGGGTATGGGTCCGCTCTGTTAGTTGCGAGGTCCTCTCTACCACACTGTTGATCAAAAGGTCCGCGTCATGCTCACTGGGCTCGTCAGGGACCTCCGCCTCGTGCCTCTGTCTGTCTTTGGCACTGCGGTCTAACCCCTCGCCGCGCTGGGGTCCTCCGTGGCCTAACCCCTCGCCACGCTGGGGTCCTCCGCGGTCTGCCAGGTGGTACCCTATGCTGTGCTGTGCATCTGGGTTCTGCTGGTGGTTGCCATCGCTGTCCTGCTTGTCTACGGGCTGCTGGAGGCTATCCTCACTGCTTTCCTCTTCATGGA